ATCCTGCGCAATGGGCAGGAGGTGACTGCGCTGGAGGTGAGTGACAGCGGGGTGGGCAGGGTGTGCCAGGCCCGTGAGGAGGGGAGTGCCAAGCTGGGGGAGCATCCCTTGTGATGATCAACACTCCCATGTAAACACTGCCTTGTTTTCCCCTGTCCTGTATGTTAAGGAATCCCAGGGTATCATTTAGGTGAGCTCGGAGCAGCCACGCAGGTACTTGCAGGCTGGAGCAGGGAGGAGGCTGGCAGGGCTGAAGCAGGCAGGTTGCAGGGGCTGGCTGGGGGTTTGGGATTCCTGCATGTGCCTGTGGGCTTTCTCCTGAACCCTCCCAAGTCTTGCACATACTCTTTGTGTGTGGAGGCTGACTCGTGCACAGCAAGGCTTTTTGTCAGGAGGCAGGAGTGAGGGCAAGGGTCTGGGAGCTGGGGATGCACCCTAACCCTTTCTCTCTCTTGCAGGCAAGCTGCTCCGAAGACCTGGGTCGCTGGCTGGGTCTTCTCTTGGTGGAGACAGGCTCCAAGACAGCACCAGAGGCCTTGCACTATGACTACGTGGATGTGGAGACGATTGCCAACATAGTGACGGCTGTGAGGCACTCCTACCTGTAAGGCTGTCCTCCTGCTGTGCCTGGGGCTGTGTTGGGCTGGGGATAGCAATCCTTAGCCCTGTGGGCTCCCTAGAAAGAGCACAGGCTGGAATGTGGTTTGTGCTGTCATCCTGGGGACAGCCAGTGCCCCAGGGGTTGTTTCCCTTGGGCAGTTTCCCCTTGGGCAGGATGGAAAGCAGAAAGTCTTTCATCAAAGCTGATGAAGGACTTGGGATGGGATGGGATGGGATGGGATGGGTAGGGTAGGGTAGAGTGCTCATGAATGAGGTTGGGAGAGCAATGCAGGAATCCCTCTGAGATAGAAGGGCTACCTGAAGGGCTGGCAAGGACATCCTGGAAAGGAAGACCCCATCCCTCCTTCTGCAGGTGGGCCAGCTCCTCCCAGGATCACCAGCCAGACTCCTCCCGTGTGGTGTACGATGACGTCCCGTATGAGAAGGTTCAGGTGAGCATGACTTCATGTCTCTCCCTCTCCCACTGCTGAAAGTGCCCTAGGGAGCCTTGTCCAGGCTGTGATGGCTCCATAGGTGTTTCAGCACACTCTCCCTCCTGTCCCCACACAGGCCGAGGAGGAGCCAGGGCGGCCAGCGGGAGCCCAGGTGAAGCGCCACGCCTCCTCCTGCAGTGAGAAGTCACGGCGGGTGGACCCACAAGTGAAAGTGAAGAGACATGCCTCGAGTGAGTGGGGGTCCTCGGCCACAAACCTCCTAAGGGGGCCCTGGCCGGTGTGGGGGGCTGTTTCCCAAGGGGTCTGCAGCCAAGCTGGGGCCAGCCGACCCCAGCACACTGGTGATGGGTTTTGCCGTGCCAGCTCAGCTGGACTGTGGATGGCACTGGTGCATTTGGGGTCACAGCCTTCACTATGGGCTCCCCTTGTGCGTGCAGGTGCCAACCAGTACAGGTATGGGAAGAACCGGGCTGAGGAGGATGCCCGGCGATTCCTGACAGAGAAGGAGAAGCTGGAGAAGGAGAAGGCATCGATCCGCAGCGAGCTGATGTTGCTGCGGAAAGAGAAGCGAGAGCTGCGGGAAGCCATGAAGGGCAGCACGGGTAGGTTGGTGCTGCCCGAGCACTGCGGCTGCTCGAAGGCACCCGGGCACAGCGGGGAGGTGCAGAGCTGGGGTGGCACGGGGACACTGGACTGGCGGTGACTATGTGGCTGTGAGCTGGGCTGGTTGCAGCACACTGCTGGGCTGGCAGCCCCATCTAGTGTCCCCATCCAGGAGGATGGGTGGATTCTCTATCCCCATAGCCTCATCCCCAGGCCAAGGCACTGAGCTGCGTGCGTTGTGCCAGCAGGGACAAAGCTGCAGGAGCTGGAGCAGCAGGTGGCCGCGCTGGAGGAGCAGTGCCGGCAGAAGGAGGAGCGCCGCGTCGACCTGGAGCTCAAGCTGACCGAAGTAAAAGAGCAGCTGAAGCAGTCGCTGGCAGGAGGGCCGGCCCTGGGGCTGGCTGTGACCACCAAGGCTGAGAATGGGGTATGCCTCCCTTTTCCCTCTCTGTCATGGCTCCAACTTCCACCACCAACAGCGTGTAAGGGGAGCAGCACTTGGGGAAGAGGGGATATCCCTGTGGCTTTGTCCCATTGTGGACAGAAGTGTGTCAATTAGGTTTGGCCACAGCAGTTTTGACCTCATGATAGTCTGTGCTTTTTAGTTTAATCTGGTTGTCCTTGCTTTCTGGGTCTCCTAAACCCTTCTCCTTCTTGCTCCCTCCTTTCCACAGGAAGCTACAAACAAGCCAAATGGGAGCCCCCCTGATCACTTGGTCCCTGTTAACTGTGCAGCTGAGCTGAGGAAGAGAAGTCCGTCCATCATCCCTGCCAACAAGGGAAATGTGCTGCGGAAGGCCAAGGTCCTGCTTTACTCTCCCTCTCCTCCCTGGCCCCGTGGGAATTCTCAGTCTTTGTCCCATCCCCCTTGCTTTGGGAACTGGGAGTGCTCCCTGCCCCAAAGCTGCCAGGGTCCCCTGCTGGCAGGCTGACTCAGTACAGCACACTCACTGCTGGCATGGGCCCGGATTGCAGGGAAATTTGGGAGGTGCAGGGCTGGGTGAGCACTGGGAAAGCATTGCTTCTAAAATGCCCGAGGCAGCAGCAGCAACCCCAGCACTGGAAAATGCTGGGATGGTCTAAAGCCCCCAGCAGGGAGACATGCCTTTGAAGGGCTCTGTGTTTCCTTCTCCAGCAATGTCTCCTCATCCCCTGCTTTTATTTTATCTTTCTATGCAGGAATGGGAAAAGAAGCAGACTTAAGCCAGCCTGCCAAGCCCCTGATGGACAGTGGAGCTCAAGGAGGAGCTACAAGCCCCCTTTCTCCAAGACACTGGGAGGGTGCTGGGAAGGCATGGTGGGAAGAGACATTCTCCCAGACCCCACCACTGTGGCACCGTCTGCCTCATGGGCAACACTACAAACCAGGGGATAGAGGGCGGGAGTGGGATTTGGGAGGCGGGTGGGGAAAGGGAGAGTCCCTTGTGGATCAGGGTCACATACTACTGGGAAACTCATCTCTGGGGAGAGCCTGCCCCAGAGCCAGGAGCTCGACATAAGGTGTGTGTGCCCGTGGTGGTGCATAAGGAAGGAGGGGAGAGCCTGGGAACTGGCAGTTGGCACTGCCTGGCAGGTGCTCTGATTTATCAGGATCAGCGTGTGTCCAGGCCAACACTTTCCAAAGCAAAAATGGACTCATTGGGGATTTTTAGCTCCCTTAGTATTGGAATTCATGAGCTGCTCAGGACCAGACACTTCAGAGATGCTGATCATTCACCCTGCTCACTGCTCCCAGCTCTGCAGGGTCTCATCTCAGGGTTCCTCATGTCTCGACCTTGCTGTCCCTCAACCAAGTGCCTTCGTCCAATATTTCCTTCTTGTCTTCCAGGCAGTAAGGGTGAGGGCATGCTGCTTTCCCTTGGGAATGAAGGAAGCTCAAGTGTCAGCATTTGAAAGCAAATTAACAGTGGACACCTCTCACCTTTGCTAAACAGCTTAGAAGTGCTGCAAAGGGCTGAGGCTGGAGGCAGCCCTGCTCTCTGCCCTAGTCCTATGGCTTTCAGGGGAGTGGGAAGGGGGAAGGGCTGTGTCCTAGCCAACAGTGCATTCCCACTATTGCTGCCGCAGTCAGACACAGGTTGCCAATGCATGTGGTCAAAATGGAGCGAGGGGAAGTATAAAAAAAAAAACAAAACCACAGAAGTGCTATCAAACGGGGGGATTGGAACAGAACAGAGAAATAGAAGAAGGTCATTCAGCACAGGCAGAAACAAGGGACAGGAATGAAAAGGAAAGGCCCAGGCTTTTGTGCTGGGAACAAGGGAGTCAGACCATCACCCACTCATGCTATCACTGCCACAATTAACCTCTGGAGCTCGCTCTTTCAAAGCCCTGTGTTAGTAACTAGGTAAGCAGCTTTTAATAAAAACACTGGCACTGGGCCGCTGGTTCCTCTGGCTGAGGGAGTGTGGCAGGAAAGCTACTCCTGCTCACAGGGAAACAGGCCAGGGTGGGTCTGGGGTGAGTTCAGCACTCCTGCAGCAGCTTGGATGGGCAGACTGGGGGAATCTTGTACACAGGATTAGTGATTGCTGTTAGCTCAGAACCCTGTGCTCAGCTGCCTGCTACCACAGCCTATGAAAGCATACCAGAGAATCTCAGAGTGATCTGGGCTGGAAGAGACCTTGAAGACCATCTCGTTCCACCCCTGCCATGGGCAGGGACACCTTCCACTAGACCAAGTTGCTCCAAGCCCTGTCCAACCTGGCCTTGAACACTTCCAGGGATGGGGCAGACACAGCTTCTCTGGGCAACCTGTGCCAGGGCCTCACCATCCTCACAGGGAAGAATTCCTTTCCAGTATCCCATCCACCCCTGCTCTCTCAGTAGGAAGCCGTTCCCCCTTCTCCTGTCACTCCAGACCCTTGTAAAAAGTCCCCCCACATCGTTCATGCTGGCTGCCCGTGGAGTAGCCCCCAGTTGTGAGGCAGCCTTGGCCAAGGCTTTGGGGTTTGCTTAATGTTTATTCACCACCAAGTGAGGACCACTCGCTGTCTCCTCCACCTCAGCTCGGCCTGGTCTCACCGAGCCTCTCGTAGTCCTTTACTGAAGAGGTGAAACCCGTCCCATTATCACCCCTTACACCGCGCAGCCAGTGGCGGGAGCCGTGTGTCCGGGGGGACCGGAGCTGTGTCCGGAGCCGAGCCCCGGGCTGCCGAAGCCGTGTCCAGGAGCCGTGTCCAGGCCCAGGTTCGAGTCCAGAGGGACAAGCGTTGTATGCCCTGATTCCACTCCCGGCATCCCGGAGCAGCGCGTCCGGGACCGGGCGGGGCCCCCCCGCACCCCCGGCCGGTCCTGCCGAGGCACCGCCCGCCGCTCCCCGCGGGGCCCTCTGGGATCTGTAGTTGTCGGCGGCGCCGGCGCATCGCGGCCGCCTCATCCCTCCATCCCGCCCGGCGCTCTGCGGGGCCATGGCCGCCCGCTCCCTGCGGCGCTTCGGGACCCTCCTGCCGGTCTGCGGCTCGGCGAGGCAGGGCAGGTACGTGGGGCGGAGTGGGGCGGGCTGGGGGGGACCCGAGAGGTCCCGCTCCCGTGGAGGGCTCGGGGCGAGACGTGGCAGCGCCGCGGGGCCGGGCCCGGGCAGGCGCCGCGCCGGGGGCGGGAGCGGACCCGGACCCAGACTCAGACCCGGATCTGGTTTCGGACCCGGACCCAGACTCAGACCCGGATCTGGTTTCGGACCCGGACCCGCATCCGCACCCGCACCCGCACCCCGCCGCTCGAGCATCATCCCCCGGGAGGTCCCCGCATCACCGCCCGGACCCGCACGCTGCTACTCAGCACCCCCGGCTACTCAGCAGGGCCTGGAGTAAAATTAGGCTCCAATAACCGAGTTCTTTCCTGGAAAAATATGACTTTTTGAGTAAAAAAAAATTAATTTTCGAGGAAGAAGGTTTCCGTGCTCGGTGAGTCACGTTGTGTGGTGGTTTCCTGCCACTGCGCGTGGTTTCTGTGTCTCGCCCATCCGAACCATTTATTCATGGACTACATGTTTAATGCGCTCCCTGGTCTTTATTTTTGGTCGTGAGGCAGTACCCGTGCTATCAACGTGTTTTGGGTGGTCACAGGAAGAGAATCCATTTAATTGTGTCAATATTTAGGCAGAAAAACAGTGCCCGGTCATGTTTTTGGACATCGTGGTATATGGCTTACTAGAGGGAAATCCATAAGGGTGCTTTGGGTATTTGGGTGAAATGTGGACAGGCAAAAAGGAAGAAAGTCAAAATGCTTATTAGATTTTTTTCTCCAGAAAAGAAACACCACCAAAAGACCATTTAAATGCAATAAAATAATTCTGCAGCGTGTAATAGAAGTAAATGTGTTTGGGGCTAAACGGAAAGATGTGTGTCAGGAAATTCTTCCTCTTTCATGTTCCGTCATATGTGTGAAAACTGCTTTGCCCCTCCTAAAATGTACACTGAGCGTGAAGCAGGTGACTGATGGAGCTCAGCAGGCTTCTGTTGTGGAGGATCCTGGGACCTGCTGTCGGTGTGAAGCTTCTCTTTGTACACAAATTTCTTTGTGGCCCTGCCTGGGTCGCTCCCAATGGGAACAGCTCCGTCAGCAAGGCAGGGGTGGTGGGGCCCAGGCTCCCAACCTGGGACTCCTTACCCTGGACTGGCTTAGGGAGCCTCCTGCCCAATTTACAGCCATCCTGTGTGGAGGTGCACTGCACAAGCTTGTTCTCTAGCTTTATTGAACAAGAATCCACATAGTGTTATAGAATCAGAGAATATGCTGAGTTGCAAGGGACCCACAGGGATCACTGAGTCCAACTCCTGGCTCTGCAGAGGACACCCCAACAATCCCACCATGTGCCTGAGAGCATTGCCCAAACACTCCTTCAGCTCTGTCAGCCTTGGGGCCGTGACCACTGCCCTGGGGAGCCTGTTCAGTGCCCAACCACCCTCTGGGGGAAGAACCTTTTCCTGATATCCAACCTAACCCTCCCCTGACACAACTCCAGCCGTTCCCTTGGGTCCTGTCACTGGTCACAGAGAGCAGATATAGGTGAGGAAGCTGCAGACCATGGTGAGGTCTCCCCTCGGTCTCCTCTTCTCCAGCTGAACAAGCCAAGTACCCTCAGTCGCTCCGCATATGGCCCCTCCAGACCCTTCACCATCTTCATGTCCCTCCTTTGGATGCTCTCTAGCAGCTTTAGATCTTTCTTACCTTGTGGGGCCCAAAACTGCCCCCAGGACTCTGAGGCCACCCCAGTGCAGAGCAGAGCAGGACAATCCCTGCTTGACTGGGTTAATCTCTGGTATCACTCCCTGATGAAACAGAGCAAAGGAATTGGGAGTAATTAGATTTCTTTCCAAAGCAAGCTCATCAGAGAAGAAACACTGATGCAGATGGTTCTGTGTGTCTCAGCAGTTGTGTGCTTTGTCATGCTGATTTGGGAAGAGGAAGGAGTGTTTTAGGAGGGGTGGGGAAGGACCCTTGCGTTTAGAGGGAGCATGACAGTCACTTTGGGATGTTCGGGAATGGTGCTATCCTGCCTGTGCTCCAGAAGGAGGTGATACTATTGTATATCTGACCAGAGACCTGTTCTCATCATTTAAATTCTAATCTTTAGAGCCAAGTGGCTTAAACCATATGGCTGCAATCAACTTCTCTGCTACATCTGATCTGTTTGGCTTTCTGTGACATCCCTTTGTAAATCTTTTGGTATCACCAGCTTACTTGTGTAACCCCTTCACACGCCCTGAGACTTCCACGTGTCTGTCACTTAAGGATGTGTCAACTTGCTCCCGTGGGATTTCTGCCTACTTTTAGGGCAGCTGTGATCAAGGCAGTGTTTAGGAGATGGAGCAGAGTCAGTGGACAGGCTGTAAATAGCACTTGCCCTTTTTTGTGGAGTATTTTTTTTCATCCTGAAGGAAGAAGTAAATTGAGTGGCATTTTCAGTCCTCCATAAGAATCCTTCCTAGGAACTCCCTCTGGAGCCAGTCTGTGGCTCTGGTTTCTTGCCTACAACTTTTAAGGCAGGCTCATCTGAGCAGCATGTGATACCCGGGGCATGTCCCTGCACGGGGGAGTGTTCTCTAAGTTGGTTTCACAGGCTGGAGAGAGGAGTCCATGCAGGGAGCTCCCTGCTCCACGTAGGCAAATCCCTGGAGCTGAGGCACTGGCTCATCCATGCCCCTCTCCTCCCACGCTCCGAAACACACCCATTCCTGTAGAGTAACTCTCTTACGGAAGAAAATGTCTCACTAACCTTTGTTTCTTGGGTGCAAAAGAGTTAACTGAGTTGCCTATTTTTAAGACACCAGAGTCTAATCTGTGAGAGGCCCAGCAAGATTTCTCAGCTGCATTTCAGGTTGCTTGGTTCATCTGTGGCGTGGCTGATTTCCTTCCCTGCAGCTCTTTAAATGAAATGTGAGACGATAAAGGACAAAGCTTGTAGTTGGTGCTTAGCGTGGACACACCTTTATGTGCAAAGAAAGCTTCACAGATTGATTTTGAAGGCTTGGTGAAGGGGGTCCTGCTCTCTCCTCCCCTCCAGTCCAGTCTGCTTTTTGTAAATTTGAGGAAGTGCTGTGTTAATCAGTCAACAAAGTAAGTTGATAAGCATTTTAAAAATCATTCGAGATGGAGTTTTGTGCCCCAAACAGATCTATCTGCAGCCAGGGATAAAATGTGGGGGTTTTTTCCTGTGTTAGCATTCCTGGAGCCCACAATAGCTGGGCAGCTTTTTGAAAGGAGCCCTGGGACAGCCCCTCACCTGGTTTTTTAAAGAGTAGTCTGAGGAAGGTCCTATCTTAGAGCAAGTATAAGTAGCAGAAGCACTTTCAAACTTGTATTTGGCATGTAGTTTGTTGAAAAGGAGTGAGTGGTTTAACAGATCATATTTTAAGTACCCACTTAATAAAAAATGCATATGCAAATGTCTTCAGGTGGGAAAAGGAAGTTTGTCATTAGTGTTGTGGGACTTTCAACAACCTGGTGTTAAAGACTAAATGAGGGAGCATCTGGGCTGCTAAACACTGGGTGGTAGGAGGTGCTTGGTGGTCTTTGGGCAGATACAGATCTCTTGAATTGTGCTTTGATGATAGCTATAGATGAGCCAGTCTGAACCACCTGCCTGCCACCCAAAGGGGGACACCTCATCCGTTCCCCACATCTCACCAGGCTTCACGTGTTTGTCTCCTCTGGTACTGGCACTTGCACTCATCTATCTGATCTGTCAGCAAACCTATTCAGGGACACAGAGAGAAAAGTCTTTTTGTTTTGTAGGGTTAGTTTTCATCTGGTTTAACTCCCTGAAACTTAATTCTGCTCAACTCCAGTACTGGAAGAAGAGGAGCAAATTGTAAGCTCAGCTGGACTGCTGAACAATGCTAAAGTCTCTTGACTGGTTTGATAGACCCCAGAATAAACTGTGCACTTCTGTTACACCATGCATGAGCAATATAGCCTTGCTAAAATGTAAAAAAGCTTAATGGAACAGGCCTGGTAATGTGAACTCAGCTGTATCGATTCTGGGACCTAACTTAGTGTCTCTGTGTGGTGTGGAATTGTGCTGTATAACCATAGGGGTGGAGTCAGTGCCAGTGCAGGGATTTCTGGGCTTTGCTGAATTTCACGGACTGGATGTGCATTTAATGTTTGCAAAACATTGTATACAGGGGCTATAGGACATTGCATAAGAGGATGTTGAAAGCCCTGCTGAGAGGAAGGGCTCAGGTGTTCCCAAAAAAGGAAACACCCTTGTAAAGTGTATGCTGAAATGTTTCCTGAGTGGGGGTGCTTTGGCAGTAAATTGCACTTTGTTCTGCAGACTCTTCCTGGTGTAAGGTGTGAGAGGGAGGCATGGCTGAGGCTTTGGCCTCATGCTGGCAGGAATGGGCCCTGTCTAGGTCAGTTTGTAAAAGCAAGTGTAGTAGGAGGGAGAGTGAAACAGAATCAAGGAATCACAGAATCATTTAGGTTGAAAAATATCTGAGAGGTGGTGGAGTCCCCATCCCTGGAGGTGTTCAAGGAATGACTGGATGTGGCACTCAGTGCTCTGGTCTGGTTGACAAGGTGGGGATCAGTCACAGGTTGGATTCGATGACCTTGGAGGTCTTTTCCAACTTCAGTGATTCTGTGAAAATCTAGCTCTTTTCAAGGTATGCCAGAGAAGTGGTGTACAGCCTCTGTAGTGCCATGTGAGTCTAAAATAAAAGAATTTAAAAACACCAACCTCTTTGTGTTTCTTTGCTAATTGTCTGTATTTTCTGAAAAGAGCTAAAATTGTGTCAGGAATCCTATGTATCTTCTTTAAGAGAGCCTGTTTTTAGTACCGGCACTAAACTAGAATTCTCAATGACCCTGATGATATTAACTTTCCTTCTTTGTCACTAGTTTGCATTTCAGAGGGTCCCCCTGTGTTTTCAGCACTGCAGCTCAGCAGAGAAGTACAGGAGATGAGTGTGGCCCAGAAGATCCCCATGACGAGCCCAAGCATCCCCTTTCTGACTGTGCCTTGGAGCACAAAGCCATCAAATTGGAAGAACAAGTCCGAGATTTGACTGTGAGTGTGGTGCTGGTGGCACCATGATGTCTTTGGTTCAGTCCCCTTGACTTGGTCTGTCTTTCAGCCCTGGACTACTTCATAAATGCTGTAACACACACAAACAGTGTTGCTGTGCTGTGGCAGCCTTCAGAGCAGCTGTGCTCTGAGTGTGAGAGGGGGAAACTCCAGTCTGCATTCCCCAAAAACACCATCTGTCAGTAGTAGCAGCAGCAGGACACTGATAGCACAATCCTGGCAGGCAAAGCTGTGTGTTGGAGCTGGTCTGGTCAGTTCTTTCACAGCATTGTACAGAGCCAGTGGCAGTACTTTTGTGCTGATCAGGATTGTGTATTGTCATAGAACCACAGAATATCCTGAGTTGGAAGGGACCCACAGGAATCATCCAAGTCCCACTCCTGGCACAGGACACCCCAACAATACCACCATGTGCCTGAGAGTGTTGTCCAAACACTCCTTGAGCTCTGGCAGCCTTGGAGCCGTGACCACTGCCCTGGGGAGCCTGTTCAGTGCCCAACCACCCTCTGGGAAAAGAACCTTTTCCTAATATCCAACCTAACTCTGCCCTGACACAGCTCCAGCCGCTCCCTCAGGTCCTTTCGTGGGTCACACAGAGCAGAGATCGGAGCTGCCCCTCATGGGGAAGCTGCAAACCCTGGTGAGGTCTGACCTCAGTCTCCTCCAGCTGAACAAGCCCAGTGCCCTCAACTGCTCCTCACGTGGCCCCTCTATACCCTTCACCATTTTCATGTCCCTCCTTTGGATGCTCTCTGACAGCTTTGTGTCCCACTGGGTCCAGATTGTCCAAGAAGGAACGTCCTTTTCAGTGACAGTGATGTGAGGGAAATAGTAGGGATCACATTACATATTGAAGAGCACATGTGAGTAAGGAGAGAATTAAATACTGCTTCACTGGGCAATTCTTGACATAATCACCCTGAGAATCCTGCACTGAGTGATAAATCATGTGGTCACCGATCTGTGGCTGAGACTATCAGCTGCCTGCTGCAGAAAAAGGTGTCTCAATAGCCACAGTGAGTCACAAAAAAAGCAGCAACCTGAGAGCTGGTGTTCAGTTGAATTCAGTCATTCAGTGCCCAGAATACTTCTGGCCTTCGCCTGCATCTTTTGAGGGAGTTGCAGGTTTTGGTTAATCAGTAGAAGGACTTGGGTTTGCATGTTGTAAAAATGCAGGAGCCTGGCACAACCTTCTGATGTGACGAGGACTCTTTTTAAAGCATTTCTGAGGGATTCACCACTGTCAGGAAATGGGTTTTGCTTCCTTGTTTGATGTCTCCCCTTGCTGTTGTGGTTACAGGAGCGATACCGGAAAGCTTTGGCAGATTCCGAGAATGTCCGGAGGAGAACACAGAAGTTTGTGGAAGATGCCAAGCTCTTTGGTAAGCGAAAGAGCTGTGTTTACTGCAGTGGCCTGCCTGCCTGAGTGTAAATTGCTGATCAACAGCTTTTCTCTCCCCTGGTCCTGCCCTCCTTTGTTCACTGTGAAGTCTGGCATGACGTTTGGCCTGGGCTCTTGGTGTCTGGGCTTACTTGCTGTTTTCTCTGTATGTCCAGCTGTGTCCTGTCTATCAGTTTACTTCAGGGACTGTTTTGTGACTATTTAAAAAAAAAATAGGCCCAGTGCAGCTGAGTGTAGTTCTGCTGACTTGGTTGAAGTTACAGGCTCGGCTATATGCTGAGGATTGGCTCCAGCAGGGTGTAGTTCATACTCAGCTGTGTCATCAGGTTGTGATCTCTTTTGCTATATTAACAGCCTCTTCCCTTCTGCTCTAGCTTTTAGGAGGTAGATCCTGCCTGGGACAACAGTTGTCAATCCCTGTATCAAATATTTAAAATTTCTAAAAGAAGTATTTTATTGTTGGTGAAATGACCTGAATTTGTGGCTTTGGCAACAGAGGCAGGTGAAGGGGGAAAAAGGTTCTGTTTAATCATTGGACTCTGTCAGGACCATCTCTGAGAACGAGAAACTGTTTTTCTCCATAATGCATGAATCTCATAGGGTTTATTGGTAGTTAACTCTAGTAGCCTTGAAATTAGAGCTATTGTATTTTCTTACCTTCTACCTGTGGAGCTACGAAATGGCTGATGAGTTTGGGGATAATCAGTGGGATAATTGATATTGAGAGGGGTTTTTTGAGCCACAGTGCTTTTAACTTATAAATAAAATTGGGGATGTACTTTTGAGTAGACATGTATTGGTTTTACTTCCCCACATTGTGTTTGTTCCCCGTGGCATTTGTGTGAGCTGCTTGGCAAAACAGTGAAGTCAGTGGGACTGTATGAGAGGGTGTAGAGCAGAGTCCTAAATGACAAGTGTTAGTTGCAAAAAAAACTATTTGGAGTGGAATACTAATTTTCTGCTTTGTCAGGAATACCCGACATATAGATATCTGTATGTTTATATGTATAGGTGTACATTTCCTGCATATGTCTTGATTTGGAGAGTCTTTAGATTACTGTTAATGTTAAAGCTTTGGTTACAGAAGACACCGTCTGCTCTCACTAAATTAACAGTTCAAATCAATTAGCAGCTTTAGAGATGCTTTCCAACTGCTGTGACTTTGTGTCTGTCATTGTAGCTCTGTATGTTCTGTAAACTGCCCTCCATTTACTTAGTGCTTCTTTGTGCCCCTAGGGATCCAGAGTTTCTGCAGGGACCTCGTGGAGGTAGCAGATATCTTGGAGAAGACTGCCGAGAGCGCCGCGGGAGAAGCGGAGCCCAGTAACCCAAACCCAGCCCTGAAGAAGATCTACGAAGGCCTCTCCCTCATAGAGGCCAAGTTGCAAAGTGTGTTTGCCAAGCACGGCCTTCAGAAGATGAACCCTGTTGGTGGCAGATACGACCCCTACGACCACGAGATCGTCTGCCACGTCCCGGCCGAGGGGATGCAGCCGGGCACGATCGCGCTGGTGACGCAGGACGGCTACAAACTGCACGGCCGCACCATCAGACACGCGCTTGTCGGCGTGGCCGTGGAGTCACAGGAGTGACCTGGGCTCCCCCACTGCCATCTGGGACCTTCCTGAGCTGGGGACCACCCCCCAGCACTCAGAGCTGCAGCTGCATGTATTTACTTATTTATTGAGCTAGGTTTGTATCGTATGATGGCTTCTTGATAGTGTGTGCGGTCATTTTGCCATTGATTCGAAGGTACTTGTGTATTTAATAATACTTTCTGGGGTCCATGGAGTAATAGTAGAAGTCCTGCTATTTGTCAGAAACGTGGCACTGTAGCCCCTTTCTCCTTTTCTCATTTCTCCATTAAGATTTGTATGGGGAAGAGATATGGGAGAGAAAGGGAAATTCCCTGAGAGCTAAGGAATCTTGTCTCCCAGCTCCATCTCTGAGACAGACTCCTGCAGTGGCCTTCAGGGAAGTAACTTCTCTGCCTTGGTTTCCATAGCTGTATTAAGGGACTATAATAATACTTACTGACCTACCTCACAGGGATGTGGTGAGGCTTTTCCTTTGTAAAGCACTCGGAAAAGTCCAAAGGGACAAGTGTCATTATCAGCTGGTTTTGGTGTCTTCCCTTGTCCCCAGGCCCCTTGGATGGGGATGAAGATGATCACTTGAAATGACATTTAGGGGCAGCTTTTTCTTATGTTGCTTCAGGAAAACAATCCTGAATTCATGGAATCTCTGTCATACAACAGATGAATAGAGATGAGTGTTTAAAGAGAATTCTGTTGTTAGGTCAGACTAACGTATTAGTATTTCTTCTCCAGGTAAAATTTCACCTTGCCTCTTTGCCCAAATGTAAAACAGGGAATAGTGATTTGTGTTGGGGGCAAAAAACTGTTCTCAAATCTCTTATTCTCCAACCAAAATGTATATTTTAGAGGAGAGTAATTTCTCTTCCCTGATGGGTATTTGTGCAGCTTTCAAGCATGATAAACTATGTCCTCTTTGTTGCAGCTGCTGGCAAAATGGAGATGTACCCTTAAGCAGGAAATCTGGACTGCTCTATTTTCTCAGCTCTCCAGTAATGATCCTCAGATAACACTAACTTCCAGTTCCCATTCAGATTCTACTTTTGCGTGGTCACAGTAAATATTAAACCTTTTGGGTTTTGATGCGAGGAGGAAAATCTTCTCTGCTAAAAGTCTCAAGTGCCCTTGAACCAATTTTAGCAGCGGTGACAAGGAAGCAAGAGAAGCAGAAGGCTGAGGAAGCGAAAGCTGACCTCGAGCTGTCCTCTTAGTTGGAGGCACGTTGTTGTCACAGCATATGTATTTCCCAGTGGCCCTATTGCCTGGGAGTCCATTTGTCTCAGCTGAAAGGATGCAGTCACTGAGGAAGATCAGAGTTTTAACCCTTTGCAGAGCAGCAAGCAGTCAAATGACAGAAGAACAGATAGTCCAGCTATGGTGTGCACTACACAAAACCAGGAATGGTTGTTTTCAGGTTGTTTCTGCCTGATTTGTTAATTGCTGCCTTTTGACTTTTTGGAATTGGATCCATGGCCCAACAGATCCACTTCCAAAAACGTTTTATTTATAGTGGATGCCATCACTGGTTTGGAAGAAAGCTTGTTCTTCTCCCATTCTTTGCAGGCTTTGGTTGCAAAACCCTTTTGTGGTGGACTTCAAGATCAGTGCAGCTATCAACAGTCTTTCATCTCGGAGACTGTGTGCAGCTAGTGGGTTGTCATTCCAGAAATTTAAGGAAGATGCACATTTCTAAGATGCTCCATGCAACCTGTTTTAGTGCCAAGTGTGGAGTGACTTGGTAGTGGATACCTTTTGGAGTGTGGGTTTCTGCCTCTGCTTAGTATGTTCTCAGGGTGGTACTTGAGATTTCAACCCTGAAACTGCTTCCTGGAAGGATTAGCTCACTTTGAACTAACTTCTTGTTTTAACACATTGTTGGGAATTTCAGAGATAAACAGAACTTCCTGTTCATTGTTTTGCTGGTGTCTGTGCTGACCAGGTCACCAGGGTACGCTGTTTCTCCAGAAAGGCATAGAAAAAATATGAAGTGTGGCAATGCAAGTCTTGCTTTTCTCTCTCAAAACTGTCTCCAGCCTGTTCTGAGGAAACTCTGTCCTCAGCTGGAAGAAGCAATTGGGTTCTCTGCTGCCTCTTCAGCCTCTGCTATATCAGCTGAGTCTTTTTGCAATATGAGGAGAGAGCTGGTTATGGAAACTAACTTTGAATGTGAAACTTTAGTTATAAGGAACCAAACAAAACAAAGGCATTTTACACAACAGGTAGGTTTCAGTCATAGAAAGGCTGCAGCTTACCTGAGCCAGATTTAAAAGTAGTGTGTGACCAGAAGTGATGGGATCCAGATCTTCCTTAAACTCATCCATGAAGCCACTAGACTCTGAAATTATTCTGCAGCTACTCTGTCCAACGTGGGACTGTTTGCAAATCCTGCCTGTCTCCTCAGCCAGTACCTATCCATTTTTGCCTTAAAGAAATATCCTAAAATGCACTCCAGACCTTCTGTCTGTACTAAGAGAATATTGATTCAGCTTGTGTATCTGGGATCCACTTTCACCGAGGCACTGTTGTGTGGTGGAGCAGGAATCTGAGGGATCCAGTTCCTGTGCAGTCTTTCCCACCCTCACAGAAGCCCTGTTTAATTTTGGGCAAGCTATTTTCCCAGTTGAACCTATGGAACTTCTAAAGGATCCTATCTGGCTTTTATGATACCCATTGCTGAGAGACTCTTTCAGAGATATTACCAAAGAGATAAATCCTGTAGCTGTTGTTGGTCCTAGTTTCTGCTTCCTTTGGATGGTGAAGTGAAAATGAAATAACCAAACCTGGATTCCATCACAGAATCCAGATTTCCTAGGCAAAATTTTATTCTCTTGCCTTTCAAGCACACTTAATGATCTCTTCTGTCATGGATGAGATTGTGTAAGGGTGGGTGTAAGAATTTCTCCTCTGTAGGTCTTTGCTGCCTTGTCTGCCCTGTTTGTGTAACTCTTGCAGAGAGGAGATTGACGCATGAGCTGCTTCTCTCCAGTCACTTTATCCAATGACTGACTGTTTAATAAAACACAGGAATACATTAGCAGGGAGGGAATATCAGAGGAGAGGAAGTGTCATGTTCTTCTTAGTAATTTCTGCTCAGTTTGCCCAGCCACGAAGAGCTGGAGCTGGGAATGCAGACTACTAGACAAGATGTGGTGGTGCGCGGACCTGCATTTCCACCCTTGGGAAGTGGGCAGCCACCCTGAATATGGGCATTTGCCACCTTCTGTGGCCTTGCCATGCCCTGTCGGCAGGACCTGTTTGAGTGGATCCCCTGGACAAGTCTCCAGCGCCACTGTCATGATCATGGCAATGTCTCAACTGACCAGAAGCAGTGCAAAATGTGAATGTCACTTCGTGAACCTTGACTTCTCAGTGCTTCAGCAGCAGAGCTTCTGTTGAAAAAGCTGTGATCAGTCAATAGCTATTAGCAGTCCCTTAATTAAAAAAAAAAAAAAATTATTTAAGTTTTATATTGTGAATATTGTAGTATTTTTTTATTTTAAAACTTTAGGTGTTTTGATATTACTTGCAAAGTCAAATGAACAAAGCGTTGCTAATCTCCAAAAATCTAAATCCATTTAGTTGGTGGGAAACCTGTAAATATTGTATTTTTTTTTGTGTATTTCTGTGCTCTTTTTTTACCCAAAGGTTCTGGCTGTATGAAAGACAGAGACCGACACGTGGGAGAGGTGCAAGTAGTTGACAACAACATTTGAGTTAATGTTGGAAAGGGCTGATTTCCTTTAGATGTCCAGATACTGTCCATTTGCAAATAAAACAAAGGAATTGCAGTTGCTTCTCTTTCCTTTCTCCCTGTCCCAAACTGCTGCTAGTTCCAACTCCAACCATCTGGGACTGCACATTGGAAGGTTTCTCTCTATTCCTGATCCAGTTGTGATAAGGGCTGTGGTCCATGGCAGCACTTAGAATCATAGAATGGTTTAGGTTGGAAGGGACCTTAAAGATCATCTCCTTCCACCCCCCCCCCCCCCATGTTCAGGGACACCTTCCACTATCCCAGGTTGCTCCAAGCCCCGTCCAACCCGGCCTTGGACACTTCCAGGGATGGGACAGCCACAGTTTCTCTGGGCAACCTGTGCCAGGGCCTCACCACCCTCACAACCAAGAATTTCTTTATAATATCTAATCTAAGCCTACTCTCAGTTTGAAGCCATTACTCACTATAGTTCCCAGTGAAGAGCTGCTCTCTGAGGGGATTTGTTGGAGAAAAGAAGAGGCTTTCTCTGTAGGGTGTAACAGATCTCATTCTTCCTTCCTTCATCCTCTGCAAAATAACTGGGCCTCAGTTCCTGGCTTTGCCTTGAAAGTTGGTGCCATGTGGGTGGGTCTTGTTCTCCCAGAGCTCTGAATGCCCCTGGGCACTTCTCACTAGTACAAAAGCATCTGCAAAAGACCATTTACAAGTGGCCTTTATGAGGTGAGATCTATATTTCTGTGCCAGCAAAGTCAGATGTGATGCAGAGGTGATCATCCATTATAGGGCCTTTTCTTCATTCTGCCTGAAATGCTCAGTGTTCTCCACGATGGCATTGCTTGTTGCAACCAGACTAGACCAGGAAATCCTGCTGCTGCGTTAGGTAATTTCTGGCTCTGCTGGTTTTTGTCTGCAGCAACAGTGAGAGTTGGGAGTTCTCAAACCACAACCACTGCCATCTGCAGAAAAGCATCACAGCTTGTGAGCGAGGGGCAGAGCATTTTGCTTATGGCACAGTATTCCAGAACGCCTGCAAGCAGGGCATGGGCTGCCATGAGAGGGAGGGAATTGGGAGCAGTGCTGACCTGGCTCCTCGGAGCCCTGCTGGGTGCACAGCAGATTTCTGGTCGCCCACAGCCATGGTGAAATCAGGCTGCTTAAGTAAGAGCTTGTTAAAACCTGAGGCATGCTGCAAAGATATTTGTGTGTTGCGTTTTAAGCTGCTTTGGAAGCATCGTCTCCCCATCCTGGTGGGTCAATTCTGCCAGTTGTAAGGACTCGGGTGAGCTGAGCAATGGTAGTTTCTGTCTCTGCTCCCCCAAAATGTTCATGCTCGAGTTTCAGGGTTGTATGTGTTCCCCCATGCAGGAACTCTGAAGTGGTTCCTGGCTGGGGAAAAGAGGGGACCTGTGCTTGTGTTGCGTTTTTCTGAGACAAAGTTCAGGTGGTGTATTCTCAAACAAAATTTTGTTCCTTAGTGTTGAGCCAACTCTGGGCTACAGTAGGCTCTGGGTTTGTGATTACATGTCCAACCTGTTCTGGAGTTTTTGCTCAGCCTTTGCTATCCTTTGAAATCTGAGTAGCAGCAGGCTCCTGTGGGATCCCCTTGGCACTAGCTGCTTGCTGTCAGGCTCCTTGTTTTGCCCAGGGCAGAAAGTACAAGCAAAAGCTTGAAATGCCCTTGCTGATGCATGAGCCATGCAGGCTCCAGCCTGCTCCGGGTACTCAGTGCTGTATGCATCCTCCATGTGCAGATGGAGCACATGGAAAACGTGCTCTGGCAGCAGCGTGGCCTAAACACTGCCCTGTGGTGTATCCCCAGCACACCGGCATCAGGAGAGAGGTGGTGCCGGGGCAGCTCCTGGGCTTGGGCCCTCGATGGCGAGCGGGATGCTGCCGAGCACCCCGGAGCGTAGGGCACGGAGGATGCTCGCCGTGGCTGTGCCTGGGGTTGTCCGTGTGCCCCAACCAGCGGTTTGGGATGCGAGGGTCCTCTCTGCCCCTCAGTGCCGGTCTGCCGGGGGGATTAGTCATCCCAAGGCCCGCGGGGATGCCGTGCCCCGCATCCCCCCCTCCTCGGGCACACCGCCGACCCCGCCTCCGCCGGCCGGGACGGGCTCCGAGCTCCGGGCTCCGGGCCGGGCCGAGCCGTGCCCGGGCGGGCGGGGCTGGGCGGTGGCGGGGGGCGCGGGGGCCGAGCCTGCGGTGAGGGGCGGGCCGGGGCGGGCGCTGCCGGGCCCCGCTCTCCGCG